CTTCTGCAATTTATGTTCCTATTTTTCCTATGATCTCTATGGTGAAACTAATATTCTCTCCTTTTGTTTTTCTTATTATTTTAAGCCGAGGGTCTTTCGGAAACAACCTCTCTACGCCTTCGGGGTAGGGGTAAGGTCTGCGTACATACTACTCTCCCCATACCCCACTTGTGGGATTTTACTGGGTTGTTGTTGTTGTTGTTGACAAAAATAGTTAGTGTGACTAAACTACCCTTAATCAAATGTTCAGCATAATTTAAAGTGATGAGTAAAAGACTTTTTATGGATACGTACATAAGGATAATTTTGGAGAAGTATATTAAATTTTTTTTTGATATTATATAAATGGACACTTATTTCGGACCAAAATAAAAAGGCAAATTGGTTATTTATTGTGGGAGTATTATTTAAAGAGAGAGGAAGGGGGAGGGGGTAAAATATGACATACTTTCTAAAATTATTATAAGCATACATCAAACGAATCACAATTTAATGCGGAAGGAAGACTTTATCTTAGATATGAGATAACTATAGAAATAAAATCTTAAATAGAATTATTTAGCATTAAATGGAGGAACCCACTAAAATTAAGAGCAAAAAAGTTTGTGCATTGTAATATTTATTAAATGATTTTTAAGGGGTGTGGCTCCATCTTAAGAAAAAAACAAACTAAAAAGTCAAGTTATAATAATTTTTTCAAAAAAATAGAAAAAGAAGAAGAAAATAGTAAAGTAGATACACGCGCCAGAAAAGTGTTTGGTATACTTGTGTATGAATAAAAAGTTAAGAAGAAACTAATTGCAAAACAAATGAGGGAACTAAAAAGGCAGTCAATCTAGTCATAGTGAATGAAAAAAGCTTTTTAGAGATAATAAAAAAGCAATCTTAGCTACTCATGAATCTCCTCATCTCACTCTTTAAAAAGGTTTCAACTTTTAGTTAGTACTATTATTTTATTTCTTGCTTCTTTCTCTCTCTCTCCCTCCATTATCTTTTGAAAATAATACAATGACATAAGATTGTTTTGTTTATTTGTGAAAAAATAATAAAAAATAATGAACTCATTAAAGGTGTTTTCTAGTGGTCAACAAAATGGATCAAGAACTTCAAATTCTTTTAGTTAAGAATTTATCGGAAACAACTTCTCTATTTTTATAAGGTAGGAGTAAGCAGAGGCGGATCTAATATTTAAATCTTATGCATTCAACTTTCAAGGTTTTTAGCATTAAACCAATTATAATTTTAAAGTTATGGTGTCATATTTACTATTTTCCCAATTTTAATGAATTTTTATATATAAATTTTTACTTTGTGTCGAAAGTTCTGGGTTCAGTTGAATCCGTCGCTTGAACACTATGTTCTACCATGGGAGTAAGGTCTGCGTACACACTATTCTCCAGAAACCTCACTTGTGGGTAGGGCCGTGTATAATTTGGTAAATATCGAATTACCGTACCGAAATAAAAAAATTTGGTATTTGGTATACGGTATTTTGATATTTGGTTTAAGTTTTAAAAAAAAAAATGGTATTAGGTATGGTATTGGTATTTTAAAATAAAATACCAAAATACCGATACCGTACCGAAATATATATTATATTCCACAAAATATATATTATCAATTATAACATAAATATAAAAAATCTAAATTTTACTTTCCTTTATTCTCTAAGTTCATCAATTAACTCTAAACAAGTAACAAGATATTTCTAATGATCAAATATTCTTTTACGTACAGTTTTCTCTATTTGGGTCGATATTTGTTAGTTTTGGACAAATTTTTTGTCAACAAACATTTTCAGTTTTGTATTTTTGAGTACTTTAATTAAGAATGTTAGAGTCTATGACTCTATGCACTAGTTAGTACTTAGTATTCAAATAGAATAAACCGAAGTTACCGAACCGAATAAAACCGAAACCGAAAGGAGAAAAACCGAACCATACCGAATTTAATTAGGTACGGTATTGGTGTAGGATTTTAAGAAACCGAATACCGAAAAAACGAACCGAAATGTCTAAATACCGTACCGTATCGACCGACGAACACTCCTACTTGTGGGATTACGAATCAATTGAAGCTTATTTAGGATTGATCTTTCTCATCCGACAGTCATATCGTTGTTGAGGAAGCATTTGATTTCTAACTACGAGGGTTTAATACCAAGCCCGATAACATAAGTTCGACTAATAATTGAAAAACATAACAACAATGTCTCCTAGCAAATTTTTCCGCTATACCTCCCCAAAAAAATGAGTGTGTTGTTGTTGTTCTTGTGTTCAAACCCTAGTTGATGCAAAATACTAGGTAATTCATTAAGGTCCAATTTTTAGTAAATAAAGTTATATGATATCTATATTGGTGAAAAATAATAAATAATATCTTATAAAATTAGTTGAGACACACGTAAACTAGTCCGATCACAACTATAGAATAACAATAAAGCAACATGAAAAGGTGAAACCATTTTGATTAAAGAATTCAGAAAATGTTGTAGTAATAAGAAAAAGATGACACAAAAAGTAGGGCAGGTTTGGTTTTTTCCTCTGTCCACAGAGCATTTTCCAGAAATCTTTGCAACTGAAAGTACTTTCACTTATCTCCCTTTCTTCCATAAATTCTCTCCCCCCTACCCCCTTCAACCCCTACCCCTTAACCCCCCCCACCTAAAACTCAAAAAAGGAACATACAATAAAAACAAACAATACCATGTCCTCCTTTATCTGCCTCGTTAACTTTTTTATGCTTTCCTACCATCAACAATTATTTATCATACATAAATTTTAAAATTTAACAATATGATAATTTATCATAAATTATTTAGTTTTACGTTGATCATCAATTTAACTAAAACTTTCCTCCTTTTTCAAATTGATAATGGTTGCGTGAGTGAGCTCCTCATTATTATTTTATTTGTGATTAAAGCATAATTATTGTAGTTTGAAGATTAAAATTTGATGTAATAACTTTCTAATATATATATATATATATATATATATATATTGTTACTTTATTTAATATTTTATTTTGTTTCTATTAATATAAACACATATATCAATTATTAAATGATATTGATGTCGTCCACATATTATTTCATATGATGATATTCGAATTTAAGAAAAAGAGAAGGACTTCTCACACTTAACTAAAGTATTCTAACCACCCAGCTTTGCGGTAAGATTCTTATATATTTAGTAGATGTATCGGGTTCGAGTCTTATTACGAAAAGAATTTTGATAAGAAGTGTTTTACCCTTTAAATGAACGCAAATTCGAATCCATCAGGGTTGCAATACGAATAACCAATGAAAAACCTAGAACTAATTTAAAATTTAATAGTTTGCAAACATAGGAGTATATTATTTTCATGGAACAACAAGAAAATAAAGCAATATAATATAAAGGGCAGTCCGTGCACTAAGTTCTCGCTATGCGCCGGGTCCCGAAAAGGGTCGGACCACAAGTGTATAATGTACGACACAGCCTTCTGCAAAGGCAACCCGTGCACTAAGCTCTCACTATGCGCGGGTTTAGAAAAGGTTCGGACCACATAGGTATATTGTATGCAGCCTTACACTGTATTTTTTGTAAAAGGGTGTTCTTATAGCTCGAACTTCTGACCTCCTAATCACATGGCAACAATTTTACCAATTACACCACATCTCTCCTTGAAAACCATAGAAAATGAAACAATAACAATACTATTACCCTATGTTTCTGCAAGAAATTATTTTTACTTGAGTATTGACTTGAGGTCATTGTAGTAACTCATAAATTTCAAATCCGGGATCCGCCTCTGATCACAAGCTTATATAAAGCAATATACAGTGACAGAGGCAGGATTTCCGTTAAGGTGGTTAAAAAAAAAGTTAAAATGGTTGTAGCTTACGGCTCAAATTCATAACTTGCTGGTCATATGACAGCAATTTTACCGATTACGCCATCTTTTTCAAAACCATATAAAATAAATCAATAACAATACTATTATTTTAATATTTTAGATTATGTCATTGCAAGAGTAAGTAAAAAGGGGATATTTTTGGAGGAAAGAAGAAAGTGAGGTGAGTATTTAATGAAAAAAAAAGAAAACGGTGTGCATGTGTTGTTCATTTCCTTTTATCATCTTCATCATCATCTTTCCTAGAGAGAGAAAAAAAAAACTCAAACATAGAGAGAGAAAACTCAATAAAACTCTCTCAAATTTCATCTTCTTCTCAAATTTCATTTCTATAGAGTTGTGTACAATATTCTTATTTAATTTTGTTCAAAATTATGAGGGCAGGTTTGAGTACGATTCAACAAACGTTAACGGCAGAGGCAGCAGCCGTACTAAACCACTCAATATCCGAAGCCGGTCGCCGTAACCATGGCCAAACGACGCCGTTACACGTGGCAGCAACCTTACTATCTTCACCCACCGGATTTCTCCGGCAAGCATGTATCCGTTCACACCCTAATTCATCTCACCCGCTCCAGTGCCGAGCGTTGGAGCTTTGCTTCAGCGTCGCGCTGGAGCGGTTACCTACGGCACAGAATATGCCATCGGGGACTGAGCCCCCGATTTCTAATGCGCTTATGGCCGCTTTAAAGCGGGCACAAGCGCATCAACGTAGAGGTTGTCCTGAACAACAACAACAGCCGCTTTTAGCTGTGAAAGTTGAATTAGAACAATTGATTATATCTATTCTCGATGATCCTAGTGTGAGTCGTGTTATGCGTGAGGCTAGTTTTTCTAGCCCAGCTGTTAAGGCAACAATTGAACAATCGTTGACACAGACTGTGTCGACTCCGTTGAATCATAATTGTCTTACTGCTTCTCCCGGTTTTCTTGGTGGTGCTCGCAATAATAATAGTAATGATGTTACTTTGGCTACTTTTAATACTTCTCTTGGTAGTTCTCGCAATATGTACTTGAATCCCAAGTTGCAGTTGCAGCATCAGGGTGGGGGTTTGGGTGGAGGGGGTGGGTTAGGGGTAGGGAGTGGATTAGGGGTAGGGGGATTGGGGAATTTACAAAGGAGTGAAGAAGTGAAAAGGGTGTTGGAAATTTTGTTGAGAAGTAAGAAAAGAAACCCGGTTTTAGTCGGGGAAGGCGAGCCGGAAAGTGTGGTGAAGGAGGTTTTAAGGAAGATTGAGAAAAGGGAATTAGGAGAAGGGGTTTTGAAGAATTTACAAATTGTTCAAATGGAGAAGGAATTAGATAAAAACGAGATTGTGAACAAGATTAAGGAATTGGTAGGGATAATTGAGGGGAAAATTAGTAGTGGAGGAGTGATTCTTGATTTGGGCGATTTGAAATGGCTGGTTGAGCAACAGCAGCAACAACCAGCTATGGTTTCTGAGATTGGAAAAGCAGCAGTGACTGAAATGGGAAAGTTATTAGCGCGATTTCGAGAGGGTAATAATAGATTATGGTTGATTGGTACAGCAACTTGTGAGACTTATTTGAGGTGTCAGGTTTATCATTCTACTATGGAAAATGATTGGGATCTTCAAGCTGTTCCTATTGCTTCAAGATCTCCTCATCCCGGAATATTTCCAAGGTATTTGGTTTGCAGTAATTCTATTTTTGAGTCACTGAATTTGACAATTTGGGATAAATTGAATCTTTGAATGTTGAATATTGATCTTTGGGAACATTTTTGAGTCACTGAATTTGACAATTTGGGATAAAAATTGAATCTTAGAATATTGAATATCAATCTTTGGGAATATTTCTTGAGTCATTGAATTGACATTTTGGGATAAAAATTGTATCTTTGAATCTTTTGTGTGTGTAATCCAGTAATAGATGCTCTTTCTGGAATTATTCTTTGGATGTTTAGATATGTGTATATGTTCACTTTCCGATTTTGTTTTTAGAGCGATCTTTTGATTTGGTTACTGGTTTGAACCTTTAGGCTTGGAAATGAAAGAATTCTTGGAAATTCCTTGGATCCTATGAATCCACTGAAGAGCTTTACCTCCGCCCCAGTGCCTGCGTTGCTGAGGTGTTTACCGGAGAATTCAAATCCGAGATTGAGGACGTCGTGTTGTCCCCAGTGCAAGGAGAAGTTTGAACACGAGTTGACGAAACTTGTATCCGAGTTTGAGAATTCATCTGCTGAAGAAGCTAAATCAGAATCTCCTCGACCGCAGTTGCCTCAATGGTTGCAAAATGCCAAGCTAAAGAATGATACTAAAGTAACTGCTCTGTCACAGGTATGTGTTACTTGATTAATGAAAACCTAAGGATGACTTAAATTGCGTGCGAGCGGATGAATCAATTCTGTATTTTGATGTCGTTGCAGAGTAAGGATCAAGGACTTTTGCAGCAGAAGACTCAAGAACTGCAAAAGAAGTGGAACGATACATGCTTGCAGCTTCATCCTAATTTCCAGCACAATGTTGGTCATGAAAGAACAGTAGTATCACCTGTTCTCTCTATGCCTGGGTCGTATAACCCGAACCTGCTTTTGCGTCAACCTTTACAGCCTAAGCTACAACCGAGCAGAACCCTGGGAGTGAGCCTGCAACTGAACACCACCCAAATGGCTAGCCAACCACCGGAAAAGGCAGCGGCTAGTCCTCCACGCAGTCCTGTTAGGACCGACTTGGTTCTAGGTCAAAAACCGAGCGGAACTACCGGTGAGAAAACTTTGGAAGATCAAGCGAAGGACTTCCTCAGCTGCATATCTTCTGTGCCTCAAAACAAGTTACTTGACAAATTTGCTAGTGCGTTAGATGCTGATACATTTAAAAGGCTTCTCAAGGGTCTAATGGAAAAAGCGTGGTGGCAGCGAGATGCATCCTCTTCTGTAGCTTCCGCTGTGTCAAGGTGCAGATTGGGGAACGGGAGACAGCGCGGTGGTGCACCAAAGGGTGACATATGGCTGTTATTCACTGGTCCCGACAGATTTGCCAAGAGAAAGATGGCATCAGTTCTTGCTGAGCAAACGTGCGGAAACAGTCCTATAATGATATGCCTTGGTTCACGACGAGATGATGAAGAGTCCGACGTAGGTTTCCGTGGCAAAACAGCTATAGACCGTATCGCAGAGGCTGTCAGGAGGAATCCACTTTCAGTTATTATGCTCGAGGATATAGATGAAGCAAATGTGCTAGTTCGCGGGAACATAAAACGAGCCATGGAGAGAGGTAGGCTTACTGATTCACATGGCCGTGAGATAAGTCTCGGCAATGTTATATTCATCCTTACCGGAAATTGGTCTGCAATGAGCCCCGAGAGTTACAGGAATGAGTATTTGATGGAAGAAAAGAAGCTCATCTCACTAGCTAGTTCCAATTGGCAGTTAAAGTTAACAGCGGGTGAAAAGAGTGCTAAGCGAAGAGCGAGTTGGTTGCATGATGAAGACAGGCTTACAAGACCTAGAAAAGAATTGAATCTAGGACTTTCGTTTGATCTTAATGAAGCAGCAGATTTTGAGGATTATAGAACTGATGGATCGCACAACTCGAGTGATCTAACTGTTGAGCACGAAGAAGAACCCGGCCTTGAAAACAGGCGATTCTCAGTTACATCAGTTCCTCACGAACTCGTCAGTTCAGTGGACGATACCATACAATTCAAGCCGATTGAATTTCCCTTTGCTCGACGTGAGATCAAGAAAACAATAACCACGAAATTCTCAATGGTCGTCGATGACAAGGTCTCAATTGAAGTGGAAGACAATCTAGTAGACCGGATACTAGGTGGATTATTCCGTGGTCGGACAAGCCTAGAACAATGGGTTGAGAAAGTTTTAGGGCCAAGTTTCGACGAAATCCAGCCCCGGCTATCCTCGTCCGACGAGAACATTATCGTTCGACTTCAGCTTGAACTGCATACAGACTCCAATGTCCATAGCAATGGAGAATGTCTACCTAGTAAAGTCACAATAGTGGAAGATGGGCAGTAGTGAAATGGTATTTTCCTCAATTCCTCTTGGGTATATTTGTAAATAGGAAAGACTTTGTGGCTGTGGAACAAACAAAACAGGATAGAGAGAGGGGGTAAAAAAGCAAAAGATTTACCACAAAAGAGTGAGATGTTGATAAATTAGGGAAAATCTTGAAAGGTCTCGAGCCCTTTTTTTTCTTTCAATATTTTTGTTTTTAATAGTTTTGATGTTATAGTAAATCTTGTACTAGATATTTATTATTATGAGACATGATTAATAAGATGGAGGAATTCCTCCTTTGGAAATTCTCCATTTTCCTCTGTATACATCTCTACATTGTTTGCCATTCGATTGGATGGGTCAAAAGACTTGTTAATTCTAAGTCAATCCATTTATGTAGGGATTACGACAACTTTGCTCCATATTTTTATATCCTCCCTTTTTATCAACTTCAATCTTTCTCACACGTTTGGCTATAAAGAGAGAATATCCCAAAGTTTATGCAACATACTTTTTTATTTTAGTCCGTTTAAAAAAGAATGAGAGAGATTTTAGTCCGTTTAAAAAAAAAATGAGAGAGGGCGTTTGGTTAAGCTTATAAGCTGGTCAGACTGACTTATAAGCACCTTTTGACTTATCTTCGCGTTTGGTAAACATCCAAAGCGCTTATAAGCTAAAATCATAAGTCATTAAGTTGGTCACCCCCAACTTGTGGCTTTTTAGCTTATAAGCACTTTTAGTTTGACTAACGCTTTTACTAGTTTATCTTTAATAATATTTTTCAATTCACAAAATATTTTCCCAAAATAAATTTTCTAACTTTCTTTTTTTTCCATATTCGTTGTTCATCTTTTTCTTTACGAAGAAACTTCTTAATTTATAATCTTCTGTAAGTTTTTAAGGAGATTTTAGTCATTTTAATAAAAGAATTACTTATCAGCACTTTTCTATCAAATATATCAGCTACTTATTATCAGTTTCAGCACGTCTATCCAAACACGTAAATGCTTATTTAAAAAATCAGTTTCAGCATTTAAAAATCTAAACGGGCTCTGATATGTTTTTAAATTTTAAACCAATTAATTTTAGACTTCTTATTATATCTTAATGAAAAGATTTTATAATCAAAAAAATATTATAACATGTTTAGATTGTAAATTAAAAAAAAATTATTATCACATAAATACTAGCATATGTTAGATCATAAATTTCAAACATTGACATTTCTTCCTTAAACGTTGTGTTGGTTGAAAATACATCATATAAATTGGAACAAGAGGAGTAAATGACTACGGTGTTAACTTTGAATCAAACGAGAGATGAAAATAGAGTCAAACTTTATAATCGTCTTCCTCTATAACAATACTCTACTACGATGGTAACGTTTTCTTTGAAACAATTTTTTATATTATGTTATAACTTATAATATATGTTCTCTATAGTAGCAACAATAACAATAAACGCAGTGTAATCTCATAAATGAGGTCCAGAAAAGGTAGAATGTATGCAAATCTTACCTACCTTCAAAAAGCATAATTAAAAATTTTCAGTAAAAATAACGCTATATTACCGAGAGATTTGACGGTACAAGCAACCAATTTTGAGAAATTTTTTTATTTTGTGTCTCATACAACTTACGCTAGTTGTATGAGGTAATTTTTTGTCTCACAGTTTTGTGGACCCAGAATTCTGGACCCAGCAGTGTAAGATTGGGGTCCATAATTTTGTGAGACAAAAAGAAGTCTCATACAACTAGTGTCAGTTGTATGAGACACAAAATAAAACTTCTCAATTTGAGTGTGAATATTTTTATTTCCACTCATAATCAATGGAAAAATTAAAAATGAAAAAAAATAAAAAAATAAAAGATTTCTGAGTGACAGGTCAAACGTGCTGGTGTAGCAGAGATCAGACGGTCAAAAATGATCTTTTTGGTTTGATGGTTTTTGGTGAAAGGAAAAAAACGAAAAGTATTAATTAATGAGGAAATAAAAGCGCCTGCTATTTTGTACACAAGACACGTTCTTGCATGTGTTACGTGTCGCCACCCCTCTAAAAAGCTGTAACGTTAGGAAAAAAAAACCCATTTTCTGTTATTTTGGGTGTACAAATGTGGACCATGCAAAAATTTGGGGGGCAGATTTAAGGGCGGGTGGGGGTTTACTCGAATTTCTTTCGTCAAAAAATTATACAGTATATATAAAATAAATTTTTTTTTTTTTATATATTATACTTTGAATCTCCTTAACACAGTCCAAAAGTATATCTTATTGATCAACGATGTTCAAAACTTTTGTAAGTTCATTGGTTTATTTCTCACTAGTTACAGCTTTTTTTAGCGAAAATTCTGTCTACGCTACTGAGTTCAATAAAATCTAGTAAAATTTGCTCAAAAAATATTTTTATATTAAAAAATTTAATAAATATATACATATATTAAATTTAAAATCTAGTTATTAGTTCTTGAAGTCCTCGTTTTAAAATTTAAAATCCATAACTTTAAAATTTGATTCCGTCTGATTTTAATATGTTGTTTTTCAAGTTGTCATACTTATGATAGAGTTATTAGTAACTATTTTCAAATGACATATAGCATATTTTTTATTTTAACAGGTAGTGTATAGAAGCTAATTAAATTCTTTGTATTTTACCAAAATGTCTCTTGTGTGAACACAGTTGCTATTCGAAGATTCTATTCATTGTCATTTGTCGCAATGATCATATATACTTTTTTTTCTTTTTTCTTTTTGACAAGAATATCAGATTTAGTTCCATAAATATAGTAAGACTTTTTTATAACCATCTTTTGATACCGACTAGCTCAACTAATTTTGATTCGCGTAGCAAATATAAGGCTCTTTTAGCAGGAATTTCTCTACTAAAAGAATCGTTTTTTTTTTCTTTCTATTCATTTCTTATTCTTTGGTACTTACGTATGGAACATTTTTTTTATCTTTTCCAAGTTCATCTATAAATAGAAAAAATTACAAAATTAAAATTAGGAAATTGCCTTTTGACCATTCGAAATGGTATTCTCTTGATACTAGTTGTCCCTTTGGATATAACAATAGCAAGCTTTGACAATATCGTCATTTCTCAAGATGAAATCACTTTCAGTTAATTTCCAATTCACTCGAAATATTAAAAAAAGAAAAAATAGATCGTCAGCTAAAAAGAGCTAAAATAAAATAATTAAAAAGTCGTAAAGGAAAGGCCGGCGCAATTTTCAATTAAGGCTTGAGAAAGAAAAAGGAGGAAAGAAATTAAGTTAATAAATAGTAAATACTTATCCATATCGAGGAGTTTATACTTTATACCAACCCAATAAATATATAATTATCTTTAAACTATAGTTAATAAATACAGGTACTCACTTAAATATTCATTGACCTTAACTAATTTAAATTCACGTATATGACCTTTTAAAAAATAATAGCTATAAATGGATATGTCCAAAATTTTCATATGGCCAAAATAATAACTTTAAGTCTCGACTAAAAAAAGACTTGCAAAACAACAAAGCCTGCCTTTTATTATCGTTCTTTTTTTAAAAAGATAAGTCGTTATACATGATAAACAACTTGAGTTTATTTTATATACTTTTTAATATAGTGAACTAGAAATAATTGGCTGTCTTTCATTATTATTTCTTATTTTAATCTTAGATTTATTTGCCCCCCGAGGAATAGGGGGTTATTCATCGTCATGAATGATGCAACTTCAAACCTGTATAATATATGCTCATTCATTGTCACCTTTTGGACAGTTAAGATATAGCTGACATAAGACAAAAAAAGCAATCCGGTGCACTAAAATTTTGCCATATACGGGGTTAGGAGAAGGATCGGATCACAAAGATTTATTGTACGCAAATTTTATCTTGCATTTGTGCAAGATATTATTTTCACAATTCGAACCCGTGACTTACTGATCACATGACAACAACTTTACCAGTTACGTCGAAACTCTCCTTTAGCTGACAGAAGACAAGTATCTACCAAATTTAAGAAGGTAGATTTAATTATATACCAAACTAAAGAAGTAATACTATCAAACAACTCGCCTATTAAATTACCAAATGTGTGTTCAGCCACTAACAAAAGTCATTTCGGAGTGAGTAAGTATTCTTTCAATCTTAATTAAAGGTTTTGAGTTTGATTTCTGAGTATAAAATTGTCTTTGGCAGGGAGCGACCCCTCAATGTGGGGCTTCCCGTTGCAGATTAAAATTTAAAATTTTACCTCCTATAGCAAAGATATAACCCTATTTATTATAAATTAAAATCATTTTAAAATATTATTTTCTATAGCTACCTTTTATATTTTATAGCAAAATAAGTATTTATGGTATGTACTACCATTGAGGCATGAAATACGCTATTTATGTTTTCCTCTCTCTTAGACAGCTAAACATACCTATTTTTAAGGTGATTGTCGTTATTGTATTCATGAATACATGTCGCGAATACATGTGAATACATGCGCATACAGCTGGACTGACCTGATTTTAGGCGCTTTTTACTGCTGTATTCATGAATACATGGCGTGAATACATGTGAATACATGCGCGTACAGCTGGACTGCCCTGATTTTAGGCGTTTTTTACTGCTGTATTCATGAATACAGTAGCGCGAGTACATGTGAATACATGCGTGTACAGCTGGACTGCCCTGATTTTAGGCACTTTTTGCTGCTGTATTCATGAACACATGGCGCGAATACATGTGAATACATGCATATACAGCTGGACTGCCCCGATTTTTAGGCGCTTTTTGCTATTGTATTCATGAATACAACAGCGCGAATACACTACCGTAACAACTGAATAGTAGCTATAGGGAGTAATTATGTATATGGTAGCTATAGAAAGTTAATAGCCACTAAACAATAGTGGTTTCTGAAAATTCCTCATTAAAATTCAGTTGTGCCCCAATGTGAGTGTCGGACGTTGGATGAAAAACCGAAAATAAAAATATGAGTTCAGTCCGATGATTAGGAAATGAGTTTGCCCTTGAATTAAAGTGATGAAGTCGGAAAGAGAAATTATAATTTAATATAGTTAGACTTTTCTTAGTCAGCCCTATTGGACCATATTATTTTTGTACGTACTTAGGTCGGCATAGTCTTAAATTTATGGAGAAATTGAAGTGATAGCAATTGATAGAAACTGGAATTGATTATTGTTTACATTCTAGTTTTTTCAGAGGAAACTACAAAGAAATTTCTGCAGCAAGAGAAATTTTTACAATAACGTTTGTGAAAGAATTTTGACTATTATCTCCAAATATTGATACTGTTTGAGCCTGCATAATATAGTCATATTCACATTTTAAAAATTAAAATGGTGCAAAT